GAGGACAACAAACGAGGGGCTGTGACAAAGTGTTTCGTCGGAGTTTCACCGACTCATCAGGAGTATATATTGCTGGCTTGTGATGGGGTGTGAACCGACAGTCTGTAGAGTTTTCCATCTGGTGTGGGTGAGTGATAGTCTACTTTGATTTTGGTTAAGGTAGATTATCATTAACAGTGTAATCAGTGAGGGGATTCTGCAGACTGTTGAGGGTTCAGCCTCCTGATGAGTCGGTGAAACTCCGACGAAACAGTTTGTCACAGCCACTCGTTTGTTGTCCTCTTCTCCCTCTCTGCCTACGGTTTACCGGGCAGTTCTATTTGACGATATATATACCCATTGGCCTCATGTACCTTTGTGGGGATGCTTGGCGCCCGCCACCTAGAGATTGACCACTGGATCCCCCGATCGGCATTGAGCAGAGTCTGCTGATGTTCATAGGGGAGGGGACCACCACCTGAGGGGAGGCACAGGGATTTGTCTAGTTGGCATGGTCTCTGATGCTACCGGCTGTCTCCTACCAGCCGGTATCGGGAGCAGCCCCCGGATGCATGTTCTCTCGTGAACAGGGTTCTGGATGCTACGGGGTTCCCCGTATGCCTACAATCAGGAGTAGTGGTAGGTGGGTAGGTGGTGTGAGGTGACATTGAGAGAAGAAAAAAAAAGAAAAAAAATCGCTCCGCCATGATTTTTTTTATATATTTTTTTCCGCCGTGATTTTTGTCTTTTGTGCGTAAACGAGAGTAGTGGAGCGACGCCCATGGCATTCGGTGTCTGAAATGCACGACCAGCGAACTCAGGGCTTCTCTTTTTTTTTTTTTTTTTTTTCGGGGAACTCATCGCGTCTGATCGAAATGCGCGCGGGGTGTCCCGGGCGATACCAGGGAGTATGATGGATCGCCAGATGGGTAGACACAGGCAAAGGGCCTCGCTGCACTACTCTCGAAATGTGCAAAACGGGAGTGAATCTTCCGGTAAAGATACACGGCCATGATTTTTGTCATTTGTGCATGTCGACAGTAGTGCATCGAGGCCCAAATAGATAGAATAGAATGGAATGGAAAATTGATTCACACACACACACACACACACACACACACACACACACACAGAGAGAGAGAGAGAGAGAGAGAGAGAGAGAGAGAGAGAGAGAGAGGTTGGCTTTTGGTGAAGCGAGTGGACGCCGAAGTGGCACCGTTGGAAGTGGAAAAGAGGAGTTCGCTAAGCGATCCGTAGAGATGGATGATTTAGCATGACAACCGGTGTCGTGGGGGTTAAATGACATCAACAGCAGGAGGAGGAGAGTTGGAGGGGGATGGGGAGGGAGAGGTGGAGGGGGGGAACGAGGAGGCGGAGGGAGTTGAGAGGGAAGGAGAGGGCCGGAGTTGAGGAAAGAAGGGGAGGGAGAGTGCTTAGATTCTCATAGTTATTGGCTCTATCTTTCCTCTGCATGGTGTGTGCCGCCGCGGTTAATGTCTGATGACGGAAACGTTGTCAGAGAAGCCAGGGGACATCAAAGGCACACCAGGCGGGCTGGGAATCGATTGGACTGGCTCAAGCGAAATGGCGGCGGGGGAAGGAGTCGTCGACCGGGAAGAGGTATTGGCTGGTGTGGTATCTGGAGGAGCAGCGGGAGCAGCAGCGGAAGCAGCAACAGGAGGAGGAGGTGGTGCCTCGACTCACCGGGTGTCGATCGAGGAGGCCGCACCTGGAGGAGGAGATGGGATCTGCTTCAGTGCGCCCGCCGCCGTCTACCTGACGTTCGACTGTGTGCGCGACCGGTCGGCGAAGACGGCGGCGTCTGGGACTCGAGGAGCACGACCAGCATGGCAGAGACTGTATTCGGTGGGCAAAGCAATCAGGAGGGGAGCCTTATCGTGTTCACGAAAGCTGAGGGCTCTGGTTTCGCTCAGTAGAAAGATCCTGGGGCGGGCTGTGCGCAGCATTCTGTGTTGTTTTCGAGAGCTATGGCGTGTTCTTTTGTTAATTGCCGCTGGTCTCAATCGGGCGATGCGGAAGAGGGCGTCGTTTTACCGCCTCCATCTTTTGTATTTCCTGACTCTGAGCTTTTTGGGCGCCTTGATCTTGTGGGCGCTGCCCAAGAATCCGGAGAACATGCCTGATCACAAGACTCACATGGACTTCATTGATGCTTTGTTTTTTTCGACGTCAGCTTTGACCACGACGGGTTTGGTCACTCTGGATATGACTGTGTTGAGGACAGCAGATTTCGTTCTGCTGATGTGTTTGACTGCGATCGGAGGGACTGTGCTAACGTCCTTGGGGCCAGTGTTGGTGAGGCGGCACTACTTCCGGCGCAAATTGAGGGAGGTGGCGGAAGAATCTGAGGGGGAGGAGGAGATGGACGCAGCACCATACAAGGGTCTGGAGCAGCAGGATCCTCATTACCAACAAGATTCACGGCCGCCAATTTGCGTGATAACCGACCAGCAGTCGACGCGCACCCTTGGCAAGGGTGCAGGACAGGCGCTGAGCACAGGCCGTGACGTGCCCTCTGCACCTTCAAGGGCTGTGTCTGAGCGAGGAGGAAGCACAAGAGGAGAAGAGGTGGACTGGACAGCTGGGAGCCGCGGGGTTGTGGCTTCGGGGGGGAGATTTGTCGGCCCGGTACTAGGAGGCGCCGCAGCAGGAGGAGGTGGAGGTGGGAAGGTCGAGGAGGAGGCGGGGTCTTCCTTCGGCGAGGATCGCGCACAGCCTTTCGCTCGGAGATGGATCCCAAGAGGAGACGACGGATTGCGCCAAAAGCTAAACTCCGAGACACAGACGAGAGCCGGCAGGAAACGGCTAGATCATAGCCTCACGTGGGACGCTAATTTCCTGGCGGAACAAGCACGCAAGGTAGTCCATGATGCTGTGACTAAGCGCCGTGGAGGCGGAAGAGGAGCAGAAAAACGGGGCAGAGAATCGGCATCCGTAGAGGAGCCAGCAGGAGGAGGAGGAGGGATAAGTCGAGGAGGAGGGATAAGTAGCTCGTCGACAGGTTTTCCAAGAAGTGTTGCGGACAATTCAAACAGCATGACGGTTACGTTCGGCCTTGACGATGATGTGCAACTGCGCGCCGATTTCAACATCGGATGGCAGACTTTGGATTACCACAAGCGGCGATCTGACGAGTACCTTGCTCTGGTAGAATTGAGTAAGTTAGTGCCTTTATACTATTTGTTCTGGACCCTCTTTGCCTGGATTTCGTTGAGTATCATTCTGTCCACCTCTTCTTTAAGTAGGAGGGTCGTAGACTCCACCGGCGCCAACCTGCATTTTTTCTCCTTGTTCCACGCGTTCGCCGCCTTCAACAACCTAGGCATGTCCATAGTTCCCGCCAACCTCATGCCTTTACGCAAATGCACGAGCATGCTTGTAGTCATTGGAATTCTGATGCTCGTCGGACAAAGTCTGTACGCGCCGACGATGCGCGGTCTCATCCTGCTGCTGTACCGCTTTTCGAAGAGCAAGAAACACGTGTACGAGTATTTGCTGGACCACCCGCGGAAGTGTTTCACCCATCTGTTTCCTAGTTCTCAAACGAAATGGCTGGTCGTGGCTGTCATGGGCATCACGGGCTTGCAGTCTATCTCGTTCTACATTCTCGACTGGCACAACAAACAGTACGTAGACGAGACTTCTTTCCAGAAAATCTCTCACGGACTGTTTCAGTCCATCGCGGCGAGGAACGGCGGCTTCCAAGTGCTTAACATTCAGCTGCTCAATCCGGCGATGACGGTTCTCTACACGGGGTTCATGTATACCGCCGTGTATCCGGTATTTCTTGCGCGACAACACTCGAGCGAGCCCCAGGAAGCATACCACGACGGGGAGATAGGGTTACCCTTTGTAGACTGGGAGTCGAAGGTGGTGGCGAACAGTCTGAAGTGGCAGGCGGTAGGGCTGCTGGGGAAGGATGCGTTCCTGGCGTTCATTGGGGTGTTCTTGATCTGTGTGGTGGAAGCATCGAAAATCAGGACAGATGCCAACTTCACGTTCATGAACATCTTGTTTGAGGTCATGAGCGGGTTTGGCAATGTAGGAGTGTCGACAGGATTATGTTTCCGGGAAGATCCGCTCGATCCAGAATCGATGTGCAGCCCCAACTCACCGAACTACAGTCTCGCGGGGGGGTTCCATACGGTGTCGAAGGTCGTTATGGTGTTCATCATGTTCCTGGGTAGGCATAGAGGCCTGCCGCACAACATAGACGCAGCTGTAAGTATACCCAAGAAAGCGTTGTTCAGGCGGCAAACGAACGCTCTGCCCGCGGAGATGACAGACCCCATAGCATTCATGAGGAATCTTCAGACGCAGCTGTCGAGTATGTCGTTATCGCTGCAGTTGAGGGAGAGGATGAACAGAAAACAGGCGCAGGATGTGAAGGCGTCGGCGGAGAGAAGGACGTCGCTGGGGGAGCTGGTGGAAGAGATGCGCATGGAGAGTTCCAGGAGAGTCGTTGGTTTGCAAACAACAGGAGATGGAGGAGGAGGAGGAGGAGGAGGAGGAGGAGGAGGAGGAGGAGGGGGAGAAGCGGGAAGGATGGATGATCAGAAGGACCAGAACGCCAGCATCTTCAAGGCTGCTTGAAGGCGGGCTTGAGGGGGGGGAGGGTAGGGGGGAGGGGGGGGGGGGGCGGGCGCGGCTAGCGGAGGAAATTTGGAGGAAGAAGTGTAGGGCAGTGGATACTTAGATCATAGGAGGACGAGGCGGAAGAGAGAGAAAGAGGAATGATGAACGGGTAACGAGAGAAGAAAGCCAAAGGCAAAATTGCTCTGTGAAGCTATGGCGGCGATATGCTAACGTGGGAGAGAAGGATGGAGGTGGGAAATTAGGGAGAGAGAGAGAGAGAGAGAGAGAGAGAGAGAGAGAATGGGATGGGAGGACGAGAGGCGGGAAGATTAGGAATGGAGGGTGGAGAGGAGGATCAGCATGCAGGCACGGGTACTTGGTACAAGTGCTGTGTGTCTCCATTTGGTCATCAACTCCAGTATTTTTTTTCAAGTTAGAAGGCGAAGGATGTGTATTTTAACTGTGACAGAAACCGGCCAGTTTTATTTTTATTTTTTTTTTATTTTTTTTTTTCCCAAAGGTAGTGCAGGCGCTTATGGTTCTCGCCAAATTTATTTTTAGCAACTGGTATTTGTAAATCAGAAGGTGACAGATTTTTATTCGGATTATTTTACGGCAGAGAAGCCACCCCAATTACAAAACGAAGAGATGAGATCGTCTCCCTTTGTCCTTTTCCTTGTCTTTTACGGTTGCTTGTTCCCCTCCCTCCCCCGCTGCCGCCGCTNCCCCCGCCCCTGCCCCCCTCCCTAACGCATTTGTCGTTTTATGAAAGTTTCGCTGTTAGGTAGAGGCTAACTCCACACGTACTACGTTCGAGCGCGATTCGAGAGTTGGGATCCCGACTAAGAGAAGGACCAGGAAGAGCGGCGGAGAGTCGGAGCAATGGAATCCTGACGAAGAGCCGGACGACGACGGGCGGACGGGATCGGGAGCTTCGGAGCGATGCTTGGTAGTGTCATGAGGTCTGTTGCGGAGGCGTGGGGGGAAGTCGGACGATCGCTCTAACGATCCGTGGTGGGCCCCACTTCCATGCGCGGAGGGGAAATCTGACGCTCTCTCTGATAATCCATGAAGGAGCTTGGCTGTTGACGTGTGGGAAGTCTGGTAAAGTGTTAATCGCACGTGAGATGCAGAAGAAGAGAGAGCGCCTTCAACGTGGGATGCAGGAGAGAGAACGCCTCCAACGTGGAATGCAGGAGAGAGAGAACGTCTCCAACTCCAATGTTTAGTGATGATTGATGATGATGATGATGATGATAGGTGGGGATGATTGATGAGGAGGATGCTGTTTTTTTTTCGCAACGGGACATCGAGGATGGCCCATCGTCGCTCCATTCCTTAATTTATTTTTTGATCGTTTGCTTCCCCTTGAGGTAAGAACATGGACACGACATGAATTTCTGTTGGCAAAAATAAAAATAAAAAAAATGAAAGCCATGGACATGCAATGGTTGTGTTTCTTTCTCTGAGTGGACCGTTCTCGGATTTGTACGTGTCATTCTTGCGCAGGGGCCATGCTGATCTTCCTGTGAATTTTTCCAATCTTTGACGTGCGTGCCGAAGGATCTGTGATCCTATACCGTCTTCCCCCGAGCACAAGGCACCCCCATCATCATCGCTATGTCGGACAGGGAGGACAGCTTGTTTATATTCATGGTCAGGGTGCGTTCTTTTCGGGGGCAAGGTCCCACTTGCGCAAAAATTAGGAGATTTCGGCTGTTGATCTTTGCTATCTACGGTCAGTATCTCTTAATTCGTGCAAGAGGGACCTACTAGCCCCGGGGCCGAGGTCCCACTAGCAAAGAGGATAGGATCAAGCTCCTGCATCTGGATGAGTTTTATGCAGAGGTGCAGAAAAGCAGTTCAATCTCGATTTCCTGCACTCTCCACAATTACGTCCAGATTCGGGCATCCGATCCGATCCTCTTTGGTAGTGGGACCAACCCCCGGGAGAGGAGCGGAGCAGCAGCGTATTGGTTGCGACCGGTAGGAAAATATAAGCCGCTGTAACCGGCACAGAAAAAAGTGATGAAAAAGAAAAGAAAAGAAAAGAAAAAATACGGAAGTGATGTACGTGCTTGCCGACGGACGACCAACGGCCACGTCCTAGGACTTTCCCGTCTTCGTCCCAAGGCCTGGCAAGGTAGGAAATTCCTTGGGACGTGTGTCATCTCCCTAGGAAGAGGAGGCACCTTACCCACCAGGCCCGTAAATGGCCAAATTCGTTGCGGACAATCTTCGACGACGACGAGGTACCTAACCTGATGTCAGTCCACATGCGGTCCGATACCATTCGTACAATTACAATTATTACGCCTCGCCGGTCCGATAGCATTCGGTACAATTATTACGCTGCTCTGCTACGTCAACAACTGAACACACGGCCTCTAGTGCCTCCGCACGTTGCTGTGAAATCCCTACACGGCCGCTGAGTTTCACGGGAACGTTTTCTGTACACCAAGGGAAATTTCAGTCGTATCCCTCTGGCCTGCAAAATTGCAAAAAAATCCCCCTGCGGAGGTCAGATCCAGTCTCAGCTGCCAGTTAGCCAGCCATTCTGGTCCAGGTGCAGAGTCCAGCTGAAATGTCGAGATACACGAAAGTGGTCCCACATAAACCTATGGGAGGTGGTCTACATACTCGGGGCCTCGCCGCACTCCTCACCAAACGGAGTTTTTTTTGTTTTTTTTTTTTTATTTTTTTATTTTTTATAGCTCAACGTGTGTGACCTGAGGCAACGTCTGAGATGCATGGGGAGCTGCACATCCAGGGGTTGTTCCTAGGTGTATAAAATACAAAGACTTTCGTTTTTGGTTTTTGGTTCAAGAAAGGTGCTAAAAAATCCGTCCGCCGGAATACATCCCCCTACCCTGCCCATCTTCCATTGAACCACATACCCCACTTGGAGTGGGGTATGGTTTCAAGGGTGCTTGTGCCATCATGACCTTCTGTGGGAGGACACTCTGACAGCCGTGGGAGGACTCTCTGACATTCTGTGGGAGGACACTCTGACATCCATGGGAGGACACTCTGACAGAGTGTTCATCCTGTGTTTGGCTGTGCAGCCTCGAACTCGTCCCTGCGAAGGCACCAAGCCAGGAGTGCTGTCTACGTTCATTTCATGTTGTAGCGAGTCCCTGTCTCCGACGTTGCGTAGTATGCAGAGCCTTTCACTGAGGATTGTTGTATTTCCCTTTTACTTTTTAGAAAATACACACAAAGATTTTAGTAGCATTTGGTTATTCACTGCATTTAACTACCAACAGGCCTAGCCCAATTGGTACCCTAAGAACTGTTGAAATACAGACCCATATTCGAATCCAGATTCAATCAGATAACCAGTATAAAATCGTTTCGAATTCTTTGGGGCTGGTCAGTTCAATGATGATATCTCAAAGCCATCGCCACCACTCCCCTCATGGCCGAGAATCACTTTTTTGGTGAGTTAGGGCCCCGTTTGGGGGGAGGTCTGCAACCCCTGGTTTCAAGACAGTTGGCGCGAGGCTCCACAAAAAAAAAAAAAAAAGGAAAAAGGCACGCGAATGAAAATCTTCCCATGCCAAATCGCAGACACTCGAGAGAGCGCATAATGCATAGGAACGATGCAGATCGCAATTCATCTTTTTGAGAATGAGACAGCTCCGCATGGACACTTGTCATGGGAAAAGGGAGTGCATAATGAATAGGAAAAGCGCATATCGCAGTTCGGCTTTGACTATGAGACAACTCAGCATGGACACTTACGACGGAAAAGTTGCTGACACTTGCATCTGCACCCCTGCTCCAGTACTCCTGACATGCAGGAAAGACAAATCTTTCCATGCTCCAGCGAAAGATTCAGCCGCTCCAGTACTCCTGACATGCAGGAAACACAAAAATCTTTCCATGCTCCAGCGAAGGTTCAGAGGCTTGGACCGCACTGCACGGCAGCTGGAAACTTTCGAGCGCGCAGAAGAACGACAGTCCAGTTCTGGAAAAGAGAACTGGATTTTTGAGCGGACCCGACGGCCAGTCCAATTATTGGTACTGGAAACGGGGATCCTTTCCCGAATAGCAAGACGCGACGGTGGCCAGCCGAAAAAGGAAGGAGTGGGGTGGGCGCTGGAACTCGACAAAAACCACCCAACCGCCAGCGCAATTATTGGTACTGGAAATGGGGGTCCTTTCCTGAATAGGAAGATGCGATGGTGGCGAGCCGAAGGAAGGAGTGGGGTGGGCGCTGGAACTCGACAAAAAAACACCCCACCACCAGTGCAATTATTGGTACTGGAAATGGGGGTCCTTTCCATGGGGGTCCTTTCCTGAATAGGAAGACACGACAGTGGCCAGCCGAAAAAGGAAAGAGTGGGGCGGGCGCTGGAACTCAACAAAAACCAGGACGTACCTAGAAGGACCGGCAGTTGCACACCCGCTGCAGACCCGGTGAGACATGCGAACCAACGGACATAACCCGAGACCTTTCTTGGACCACCTGATCTGGCGCTCCGATGCCAGCGGCTGGCATCCGCAGGCCCCGTCCAGTTTCGTTCCGCCCTTGGATAAAATTTTGCGGCACCTGGCGATGGGCTGTCCAGCCGCCAGCCGAGCAGAAATACTTTTCGCCTGCTTTCCAGGCCAGTTTTCCCGGTCAGTGGGGTCTGAAAACGAGGTTGGCAGTTGTAAAAAGTTGAGTGTGGCGGCCTGATGGGGTCCCGAAATGAGCTCAAAAGTTTCCAGCCGCCGTGCGGTGGGGTTCAAGCCTCATTCGAACAATGTATATTTTGTGGGAAGTGTAGCAAGGCCCAAAAATAGAAGAGACCACATGCACAAAAGACAGAAAAAAAAAATTGGCGGTGTATCTTCCCATGTTCTGGCGGAAGATTCGTTCTCATTTTGAAAGCTTGGGTGAGTAGCGAGACAAAAAAATTGGCAGTGTATCTCTCCATGTTCTGCGGAAGATTCATTCTCATTTTGAAAGCTTGGTGAGGAGTGGAACGAGACCCAGGGTCTGCGCGAAAGAAAACGATTCTCACCACAACATGCGACATGAGAATGAATATATGATGCGCTAGATAATCGCAAGATAGGGTCTCGCTCCACTACTCTATACTCTCGAAATTTTGAGAGTAAGGCCTCGCTCCACTCACTCTAGCTAGGTGCTCTCGAAAATGCCTTTCGAGAGCTGTCAGAAAGCACTCTCGAAGTGTCTAGAGTGCCCAGCCTGCGACGACATGCTTTTCCAGTGTCCTCCCTCATACCCCCGCTCCGACCATTTTTTTTTGTGAGTGCGCCTCGTGTCCCGACCATCAGAATAGGGCGGCGCTGTCTTTTAGTGCAGTCAGAGAGCTCGTCTCATTCCGCCACTGCATCTCGAGCAAACCCGTCTAGAGTAAGTGGAGCCAAGACTTTTTTTTCGAGAGTTTCGCACGTCTGACAGCTCTAGGACTCACGAAACTTTTCGTGAGTCGAGAGTAGTGGAGCGAGACCCATACACTGCCAATTTTTTCCTCCTTTGCTGCGATGCTCCCTGTGTAGCTAGCCCAAGTCCATATGTCAGGTATGAATAAAAGAGAAGAAACACTGGAAATAATAATTTTCTTTTGCGAAGCAGAAAAATCAATTACTATCATGAAAAGAACAAAAAAAAAAGAGGATAGTGGAGCGACCAGTAGACGTATTGCTGATGTGGAAAATTGGCCTACTGGGGAAAACAGAAAGAGAAAATAACTCCCAGCCTGCAATTGGTAGGAGCTTTTCAGCACACACGACTTTGGTGAGTGAGGTTTCCGCCCATCCAGACTGCTGGTCCGGACCGACGTTTTGTTCTTTTCCTGTGTCTTTAGTGGGCTTGTTGGGACACCGAAACAACAGAAGTTTGGTGAGGTGCTGTGGCCAAGCCTGGGTTTGGTGAGGTTTTGAGGCCTCGCTGCGGTGGTGAGCACTCACCAGACATTATCAACTTTGGTGAGCAGTGCGGCGAGGCCCGTCGTTTGATGATTTTTTTGAAGTTAGGCAGGGCCCCACAGCATAGAATTCACTTTAGTTGAACGGGGCACAGGACGCTACTTTCGGGACTGTCAGGGAGTCGCGGCTGAGTGCAATTCAAGGCAGATGAAAAAGGACTTTGAACCGCCAGTAACTTTCCCGATTAAGAAACCCGACCACGAAGTATGCATGTTTTGCAAAAGTACTTACTTTGAACCGCCAGTTCCTTTCCTGGCTTAAAAAAAACTACCTTTTTTGGCATTTTGCAGAAGTACTTACTTTTACACCACCAGTACCTTTCCTGGCTTAAAGAAAACTTTCCCGGACAGTCGAAAACCCTAGGCGCTGTAAGTTAGGGGCGGTATTTTCGGCAGGTTGCCGACCTTTCCAGCCGAGCTCCCAAAGTCCCAGGCATCGCAATGTCGGCCCCAGGCGGGAGAGGCTGGAGGGCGGCGGATTGCAGAAACGGCCTTCGAAACGGT